CTGTGTCGGCTCTCGAAATGCCTTGTCATGAAAGCCTCAAGGTCACCAGACGTGGCTGTTCTGCACGGGCTGGGTGATCCGGGTTAGTAATGTCGTGTGGGTAAAGTGTGCCCCCTCTGCAAAGGTTATTAAACTATTCGAACAGCCGTGCCCGCGGTTATGGGCGGATGTAAGGTGATTCCTTAGCGTAGTTTTGTTTGACTACTGCTTTGTGAAATTGCTGTTGTGGAATGGGTTCGTTGTTTGGAACTCTGCCGCTGGTGGGATCAGCCAGGCCTGGGTGGCCGTTTGAAAGCTGTTGGCCGGGTGCCAACCTTGAGAAAATCAAAGACTGATACATTGCACATACTCCGACCGGACGAGACACACTGTCTCATCCGTGTTGTTTGAGAAGCACTCACCTAGTTGTTTCAGAAAGGAGTTTAACTAAAATCAATTGCAAAAACAACAGCCTCTCCCTTGAAGCCTGCATTAAACACTTAATTCCCATGACTTGCTGAGTACTCCTGTACTCACCCTTGCTCTATATAAATAATCCCCCCCAGTTGCCGAAGAAGATGAAGTGGATCCCGCGGATGAGGAGTTCTTCCAGGAGCAAGTCGGCTTCGATGAGTTTTAGGGTTTCGATCTAGTTCCCAAGTCGCGCCTGTGATGATTGGTCCAAGTCCTGGCTTCCGCTTTCCTCTTTTGTAGTGCAGTTGTGAGCTCGGGGTCTGTCCACAGCCCAACATGACTGTAATCCTACTCTATAATAAAGAGACCTCTGTGGCTGTGATATTCTGTCTTCCTGTGATACCAGCACTGTTTCCTGGGACTGGTATCGATTAACAGGTTAATTTGGAGCGTCACGGGCTGGTTCCGCTCGGGGCTAGCTCGGGCGTGACACATAGCCATCCAACCGAAATTGAATACGGAGGAATACCCAAACCAGAATATCAACTTAGCAGAGCAAGCAGCTAGGGTTACATCATGTACTTGGGCTGCGCTGCCTCCTTGCCTCCTTGGGTTGGGCTGGCTGGGCTGGATAGCTATAAGGTCTGAGGTATAGCTTGGATATCCGAAGGAAAATAGTGGATAGTTTCCGACCGAATTCCGATTCCAACGGATATCACCTCTACAGTATTCGTTTTCATTTCTGAAAAAAATAATCCGAATTCGTTTCCGAATTCAAAAATTTCCAGATATTTTCGACCGAAATTATCTGAATCCGAAAATTGGTCCGTTCGGACGAAAATTATCCGAATCACTTTCAACCCTATGTACCAGTAGTCTTTGGTTTTTGTTTTTTAGCGTATGTTAGTAGGCGCACTCTTGAATGTTTAGTGTGGTGTGCGCTGCATGTGTAAATCTTACATCTCTACTACTTAAAAAATTTAACATGTTTTCATCGTCCGTTAAAATAAAAAAAAAGCGAAAAAACAACCTAAAAAATCCGATTCCCTAGCAAAAAATAGAATCGATTCCCACCTAAAACGGGAAAAAACAGAAAAAAAAAGTCCGATACCTGGCAAAAAAAAAGAAACGTAGATTCAGAAAAAAAATCCGATTCCCACCTAAAACAGAATAAAAAAAAGTCCGTTTCCTTGAAAAAAACAAAAAAAGAAACGTAGATCCGATTCCCACAATGAAAAAAAAGTCCGATTCCTATAGAGCGAAAAACAAAAACAAAATCCGTAAAAAAATAAAAAAAACCAAAAAAAATCTAGAAAGATCTGACTCTATAAGAAAGTGGCGAAAAAAACCGTTCATAAAAAAAACGCACGAGAAAAAAAAAATAAAAAGGGCAGAAAAAAGCGCGGCAAAAAAAGTCTAATTTCTATTTGTTGTTTTAGTAGTCCGTACATATCTCTTCTCTATCTCTAATCTAATCTAATCTACCTATTTAAAATGAGAAATTTCCATCGTATATTAAAAAGAAAAAATGCACGGGAAAATAAAAACGGTTTAAAAAAACGCGCGAGGAAAAAATATCAAAAAAAGCGCAAAAGAAAACGCGCTGGAAAAAAAGGTTTCCGTAGTCCGTATAAAAATCATGCGAGAAAAAATATTTCTATTGTTATTTAGAGAAGAGTGCATAGTGACTCTATTTTGTATAGACTTGAACATGCGAGGCGGTGTAGGATTTGATTGGTTGCAAGAATGAGATTAAAAGAATATTTTAGATTATATGCATGTTGTCATATGAATAATCCAATTATTTTAGGTAAAGCAAACATCGGTAAGGTTGTCATCATTGAGGTTGGGCCATTAAGATGTTCCAATTTTCTGATTTTCTGATTGTCATCGATATGGTTATGCATGAAAGCCGTATATTATCATTATGTTTTTTTCACCCGTTGCAATGCACGGGCTTGTTTGCTAGTATAATAAAAAAATACGTTACAGAAGAAAAAGAGTTGTATATTAAATATCATCATTCTTTTAATATCTGTTATATACATAATATAATTACGTATGTGAGTTAGGAATCTAAGAGTTAATTGTATAGCAAGTCCGGTACTATTAGATAAAGATAGGATGGAATGGAGTTAGAATAAAAATATAAAGAATGCAATTGTTAAAGTAGTGGGTAGCTCACGTTTCTTGGAGAGGAGAATATATATTTAAAGAGCTTAACTAGCCAGGTTTCCGAGTTGCCGACGGACATCATATCATCGTTGTTTTGCTAGCTCATACAGTATCTTCAACACGTGAAAGCTACCAGCTTTTTTGGTTTCAATCTTTGGTATTTATTCCTTAATCTCTTTTTTCTTTTATTTTATTTCCTTTTCTTTTTTTTTTCTTTTCTTTTCCAAAGATTGGTCGGAATTTATTCCTTAATCTCTTTTTCCTTTTATTTTATTTCCTTTTCCTTTTTTTTTCTTTTATTTTCCAAAGATTGGTCGTCGGAATCCTATTCATGTCCTCCTTATTAGCTGGGTGAACGTGCGCGACGTTATATATGTGCGTCTCTTTTTTGCTTTACTACTTCTGTTCATCATTATTAAAGTGAACGAGTTTCACATGCAGGGGCCGTTGTATACGCACCTAGATTGTATAAAAAAGAATGAAGCAACCTTTCTTTAATTTGCAGCGCATGCATAGTTATATTCTTTTTAACTTAATAGAAGAATGCGCGTATGCTTTCCAATCTACTAAACGATTTTAAAAAAACAAAACTATTATATATATAAATTTTAATTTCTTAGAATATGTACCCCAACGACTTTTAACATTATAACAGTTAAGTAGTCATTTCTACCTTCAAATAATTATCACAAGTTCACAACCACAACCACACGCTATGTTCGTTCCCACTTGTTGGGAACCCTACCCTCCCACACGGAAAACGGCGCAGTCCATTAGCGCGTGATTAATTAACTATTAGCTAATTTTTTTAAAAAAATGGATCAATATGAATTTTTTAAACAACTTTCGTATAGAAACTTTTTGTAAAAATGCACCGTTTAACCGTTTGAAAAACGTGCGCGCGGAAAATAAGGGAGAGAAGTTGGGAACCTTGACCTTAGAACGCAGCCAATATACGTTGGTTTTGGATCCTTTTTAATTTGTCAGGCATGGAAAATAGGGTGTTTTATTAGCGCATGATTAATTAAGTATTACTCCATCCATTTCATAATATAAGGCACAACTACTTTTTAAACTTATTTCATAATATAAGACGTGTATGCATGCATGTCATTAACTAGCACATCTTTTCCACTAAAATGTTACTATTTAAATCCTCCACCATCAACATCTCTAATTTTACTGGGTGCATGCATTTTATTTATTAGGGTAATCCAAACTATGAGGTGATAACAATTATTTCTTGGTCTTTGAGTTAAGGGTGGTTGTGACTTATATTTCGGAATGGATGGAGTAGCTATAAAAAACATAAAAAAATGATATGATTTTTCACAGAAATTTTCTAATAGATTTTTTTTTCAAAAATACATCATTTAGCAATTTAGGAATCGTGCTCATAAAAAGGATGAAGTAGAAGATGGAAACTTGGACTGTCGTGATAAAGTTTATAAAAAAATGTACATGCATGTGTAATATCAAATTAAAATCCACCATAAATTTTGTATTCATAGTGCATTTATTTGTTTTATTATATCACAATTTATAACTAAGAGCAAACTGGGCGTAGCTTAGCTAGTAAGGTACCTTGTGGTATAATATGCTCATCCAGGTTCAAGTTTCAGATTTTACGTAATACTCGTATTTACGGCTAGTTATTTTTCGAGTGGTAGCTGACATACCTGTTGATATTGTGTCGTCCGTAGTGACTTCGTCAATTTCAAAATACGCCGGACTAGTCTCTGGAAGTGTTTGTAAAGTAGAGCGTGCATGTGTGCGTTCTTAAGGTACTAGTCTTCGGAGGTGATCATAAAAGTAGAGTGTGCATGTGTGCGTTCATAAGATAACCATTCATTTTATATTATAAGTCGTTTTAACTTTTTTCTAGTTTGACCATGTTTATAGGAAAATTTTGCAACATGTACAACAACAAACTAGTTTCATTAAAACTAATATTTAATATATTTTGATAGTATATTTGTTTTGTGTTGAAATATTGCTATATGTTTTTTTTATAAACTTGGTCAAACTTAAAAAAAAGTTTAACTAGAAAAAAAATCAAAACATTATAATATAAAACGGATGCAATCGTAGGGATAGGAAGCACATGTGTGCTCTCATATGGGTGATTGTGCACAGATGTGTAAGAGTGTATGTGTTTCTAATGTGATTAAATAAAAATCTATAACTAATGTGTTTTAGTTTTTCTTCTGCGTGAAATTTCTGACTTTTTAAAGAAGTTTATAGAAAAAGTGCATAAACATTTATGAAAACAAGCTAGTTTTATTAAAATCCACCGTATTGAGAATATATTTATTCTCGTTACATTTATTTTTCATAAACTTGAAAAGCAGGTCAAATTAAGCTGAAGAATTTTTAGATTAGGAGCCATGGAACGGAGGAAGTAGTCGAGATGCACTACTAGTATAATACTCCTATATAAGGCAAGCTAGTAGCTGGAATGAATTGAATTGAATGAAGTAATAAACGGAAGGGAGGGATCGAGATGAGCAATTATTACTGCAACTCATCCTCAATCGGAACAAGCAGCGTCGCCGGCAACTTCACCTATGCCGACGCGAGCAGCGAGGGCAGCATGGTGACCGCCTCCGTGCTCATGTTCGTCCTCGCCGGATTCTTCTTCATCCTCAACCTCTTCGGCGGCCTCTCCAACGTGGGCGCCATACTCAGCCCGCGTGTCCGCCTCCTCTTCACCTCCCTGCTCTCCCTCTTCCTCCTCGTCATGTCCTACCTCTTATCCGAGGCCAAGAACACGGCCAAGGAGCTCGACCAGGTCACCACCGTCATCGGCATCGGCCGCGCATCGTCGACGGACCTCCCGTTCATGGCAGGGGTCATCCTCACCTGGATGCTCCTCGTCGAGCTCATCCGCAAGAAGGTGGACGAGATCGCCATGAAAGGCTACTCGGGCACCATCCACCGTGCCGGCCGTGTCGTCTGGCTCGGCAGCCTCGTCTTCGTCAACATCCGCAGCGCCGGCCGGAAGGCCGTGTTCGGCGTCCTCTGGGTTCTCTGCGCCACCAAGGTGGTGCAACGGATCGCCTTCACCGAGGTCGGCAAACGCTCCTACGCCTGCGGCAAGAACCCTTGGATTATCACCTCCTACATGATGTCCACCTCGCCGTCGCTGCCGGCCCAAGGCGACGCCATGCTAAAGGGTTGCAGGTACATCGTGACGGGAGAGGAAGATGCGCGTGTTGAAGCCACCGCCGACGGCTACAAGTTGAAGGAGGACAGCAAGTCGTCCCTCGTCACCGTCGGCAAAATCTGGGTGGAGCAAGGGCTACCTGGAACGGGAAATAATGGTGGCGACGAGAAGGCGGAGCTCAAGAGGCTGTGCCTCTCTTTCGCGCTATCCAAACTGCTGCGACGGAGGCTGGAGCAGCTGCCGGTGCCGGAGCCGGAGATGAGCAGCGCGGAGACCAGCGAGTGCCGCGACGTCATCTTCAACGGCCTCTACAAGAGCGGCGACGCGGTGGCGGTGTTCGAGGTGATGAACAGCGAGATCAACTTCCTGAGCGAGTACTACCACTCCGTCGTCCCCGTCGTCCTGGCCTCCCCATTCTTCTTCGTCGCCAACTACTTCCTCCTCCCCGTCGTCGTCCTGTGCGTCTGCGTCATGACCATCATCCTCTGCGGCGGCGGCGACGTGCTGTACGCGTTCCGGAGCATCAAGACGGACAACTTCACCATCTCCTCGGGCATATTCGACACCACCATGTGCCTCCTCCTGACCGCGCATCACTCGGCCGCCGCCTTCTTCGCCACCATCAACTTCGCCGTCACCTTCCTCCTCTACATCATCTACATCTACGAGGAGGTGTGGGAGTTGTTCGTCTTCCTCCTCTCCAACTGGTTCGCGGTCTCGCTGCTCTCCGCCTACGTCGCCAAGACCCGCTTCTGCGACAACTCCGCCTTCCGTGCTTTCGCCCGCTGCATCCTCTCCGTCCGGACATGGCTGGGCTTCCATCTCCATCCCCAAGATATGATCAACCAATTCTCCGCGCTCGACCTCCGTTGGCCGCCGCTCACCCTCGCCATGCCCATCCCTCTCATCACCTTGCTCGTCTCCACCAAGCCCGTCCCCGTCCCCGTCCCAGTCAAGCACTCCATCCTCCTCAGCTCCCTCGCCTCCGCCTCCGCCTCCGCCTCCACCAAGTCTGCTCTAGCGAGCTTCGACGAGCTCAAGACGGCGTGCGAGAACGGCAGCATCGCGGAGGTGATCCTCATATGCCACATCGCCACCGGTCTCCTGGAACGCCTCAATCCTCCGCCTGATCCGGAGGTGATGATCACCGAGTCCGACAGCAAGCGGATGAGCTGCTGCGGCTGTCCGAACAAGAAGAAGAAGAACACTAGTAGTGACAATTTCACCGTCGCGACGACGCTGTCCAGATACTGCGCGTACCTGGTGGCGTTCCAACCGGAGCTCCTTCCGGACTACCATGAGAAGGCGGAGGATCTGTTCAAGGCCATGAAAATGGAGCTCAAAGACAGGCTCGGATGTTACCACTACTACTTCTCGTGCGGCCGTGAGCGAGCCGACGCCATCATCAACAACATCAACAGCAAGAATAACAACAAGGAGGGAACCGTGGACAAGGGCGCAGAGTTGGCCAACAAGTTGCTAGAAAAATACACGAATGATCATGATTCGATGTGGACGCTTCTGGCGGAGGTGTGGACGGAGATCATCGTGTACGTGGCTCCGTCCAACGAGGAGCGTACTATCATGGCGCACAAGAATGTGCTATGGCAGGGAGGCGAGTTCATCACCGTGCTTTGGGCTCTCATGACTCACACCGGCATTACCCGACACCGCCGCCTCCGCGAAATCGCTCTCAAAATTTCCCAAGACGACGCCAGCACGTCGTCGTCCCAACAAAAATCCGCACCGGACCGGATCGATAAGCAGCACGAAATCGATATCCATCGTCACTAGCTAATGTGTGTAAATTTGCTTGCTTGCTTGATCGATTGATTGCTTTTGGATGCGTGAATGTGTGTTTGTTTGGCCTGCAGCTTTCTCTTCTTTAATGTTATTTTCCCCTTCTCTTTCTTTCTTTCTTTTATTCATTTGTTGTGAAAATGTCTCTACTACTGTAAGTGCATGAGTATGTGTGGTTATAGAGTCTGCTATACTACCGATCTTCATGAATTAATAATTCCATGCATTTTTATTCTGTCCATTGGTCGGAAAATGTTTGTAACGCTGAATATGTACCATACTTACGTTACCGAGGTGTGGCTAAGTTTTCACTGAGGTGGAAGGGGAAATTCTTCAAAGTTGTTGGCGCAAGATGACGGTGAGAGACATTATGACTTCATGACGAGGCAGATATATAGACTGGTTGCAGAAAGGTGGGAGACTATTTTCATCTCTAGAGAGGATGTCGCCTCGATTATTTACATGTCACTTAAATAATTATGAAAAAATTGAGAAGATGTATTAACATGAGATCATATATCACTCTATAAATATGCAAGTTCAAATTCAACATCTATATCTCGTAACGAAAAAAACAAAGTAAACAACAGCTAGTTAACGCATATTTACAGTCAAATTTGTTTTTTCGTTACGAGATGTGAAGTTGAATTTGAAATTGCATGTTTGTGGAGTGATATATCACATATTAATACATATTCTTAATTTTTTTAAAAAATTTCATAACTATTTAAGTGGTAAGCAATAATGAGGGGACATCCCCTCGAGTGATCAAAATCCACTCCCATAAAGGTGGCTCGGTTGCGTCAAATATGGCCTACTGGGCAAAGCGCCCGCGGGATGAATCAGGAAGGCAACTCAAGATGGAGAGCAATCAAAGGATAAGGAGTTATGACTCGGTAGACGAAAGGAAAGGAGCATAGGGGAAGGAGGGGTTGGGCTTCTTGGGGAGAAAGAAGGGGATAAATTAACGGCCTAGATGAATAGTGACACTTCGGAATTTTCATGATTTATTTGAGAGGGATGGTTTGAATACCTAAATGGCATTTGAATTAAAAATTCATATTTAGGCACGGGAAAAGAAAGGAGTAGTCAAAGATGAGAACCAAATTTCCATTGGTTCAGGCCTTCAGGGTAGTACAAAAGTTCCTTCGCCAGTTCGTGCTTTGACACCTTATAATGCGCCGAGCAGCTGATAGAATGTGAATCTCGTTTATATTTCTCCGACAAACGTTGGGGCTCTTTCCTTTGGTAGTAATTGTCATTGATCAGTCATTTCAACTTTATATGGGAAGTGGATTTTTATCCCTCGATGAGATATCCTCTCATTCTATATATGGCGTTCAAAATGTTATCAAAATTTTTTTTAAAAAAATGTTAAAATAGATCAATATATAATATATCTTTTCGCAAATATGCGAGTTAAAATTCAACTTATACAATTCAAAAAAATAACAAATTTGACTGTGAATTACGCGTTCTATTCATTGTCAAATTTGTTATTTTTGTTTCTACTTGTATAAGTTGAATTTGAATTTGCATGTTTGTGAAGTGATATATCACATATTGATATATCCTACTAATTTTTTTTCAAATTTTTTATGACATTTTAAGTAACATGCAAAAATAGGGGATATCCCCTAGGATGAATTGTGTTTTCCCTTTATATGTATCATGTGCGATGTTGATGCCATTACACTATTCACCATTGAGACGTTATTTGGTTTGGAGGGGATTGAAGAGAATTGAAGGGAAATAATTCTCCACCATAATAGATGTAGAATAAATCCTCTCCAATCTTTTTTTCATTGGGATTAACCGAACAAGGCCTGTATGGTACGTAATTCATTCAAGCATCTTATTAAATGTTTGATCTCCGATCCGTCCGTAGGGGGAAGAACTTATTCTGCTCATCACACGGATGGATATAATGCATGGATTATATATGCCTGTGTGGATCGTCACTGCTGATCGAATTGACATTCACCCTCACTAGCTAATGCAATCTGCTAATCACTAGTTTCTGCAGCTGCAAGAACCTATTCTGCTCCGACCCGGCGAAAAAAAAAGAGAACCTATTCTGCTCACATGTCGCAGCTGAGATACAAAAATTGCTCATTAAGCTGTCTCATGCATTGTCCTACTAGAAAATTTTAGTTATACGAACAGCTAATAATAAGTTTATTCGAATATAATTCCTACTGACATGCATATTAGCGTTCCTGCTGCCGATCAGAATTCAGAAATAATGCAATTGCCTAACTTTATTCGATCGAATCCATGCAACTGAACTGATGGAGGCTGTGATCAGCTGCTGGTTCAATGGCGCCTTTTAATTCTAGTTGCATGCAACGTCGCTTGCACATTAGGTAGCTAGCTAGCAAGAACTAGCTGTGTCAAGATGGGCGCCATGACCAAGATCCGTGGTCATCCGAGGCGGTGTCTCCTCGGCGCCCTCGTCGGCGCCATCGCCGCCACCGCCCTCGTCATCGCCGCCTCCTTCGTCCTCCGCCCGCCGCCGCTCGCCTTCTCCGTCGCCGACGCGAGGAGCGGCGCCACCGACGAGAACAAGGCGGCGTTCCTCAACCTGACCCTGGTGGCCGGCAACCCGAGCGGGCGCGCCGCCGTGGAGTACGAGGCGCTGGACGTCATGCTCTGGTACGGCACCACCGACTACATCGAGACCAACACCAGCCTCCTCCTCGTCGGCCTCGCCGCCGCCGACGAGGCGGCGCTGCTCCTGCAGCCGCCGCGCAACGCGACGGCCGTGGAGGTGACGGCGCGGACGCTGGACGACAGGTTTGTGCAGGAGATCGTCGCCGGCGAAGGGAGGAGAACCGGGCCGTTCAACGTAGCGGTGGCGGCTCAGGTGCGGTTCAAGGTCGCCGGCGTCGTGTACACCAGGCCGTACAACGTCAGGGTGTCCTGCAGCGACGTCTACTTCGTCGTCGCCGACAACAAGAGCGCCGCCGCCGCCGCTTCGTCTACGCCCATTGATTGCCATGGCTGATTTCATGTGTTTGTGTTGTAAATGCGTGTGCATATGGTTTGATTTTGGGTTGTGTGATTGGTGTATTGCGAGGTCTGGTCTGAACCGTTTGTGACGCTACCTCATATTTTGCAAATATGATTGAAATTTTAATATGTATAACATCAATAACATGTTTGGTGTAATGCATGGGTTGATCGATGATGTGTAATGTCTACATTTGTACGAATTGTAGTGTGACTAGTAACTCCATTCCATGGGTACAAATGTAAATCAATTCCATTAAAACACACGCATTTATATGTACGTATCATCAACATATAACATGGGAAAACTCATTTCATCCCTTAGAGTATCCTCTCATTTTTCTAGGTTATTAAATAGTCACTATTTGTTTTTTTTTTAAAAATAGAATGATAGATATATTTCATTACACAAACATGCAAATTCAAATTCAACCTACAATACAAGTACAAAAAACTGTGAATAATGTGTATAAGTTAAATTTAAATTTATATGTTTGTTGAGCATATATCAAATATTGGCTTATCTTGTTTTTTTTTCAAACATTTTGATGGCTTTTCGGAACATACACAACATGATCTTTACATGAAAAAAAACACAGTAACACACATCATGTATGTATGTATATATCACATGCATCAACACACAGATATATGATGTTACACCAATCCATTGGGATGCAAATTAATCATAATGAAGTGATTAACAATCAATCAATCCAAAAATTAGCCAATCCATGCATGCAAACCAATCTTTACTGTACCACTCCAACCATCAGTATCCTCAATCACCATCCGATCGATGCCGCGATCACACCGACGCGGCGGCGGGGCGGGCAATGCCGGTGTGCGTGACGAGCGCCCAGAGCACGGTGACGAACTCGCCGCCGCGCGCCAGCGCCTCGCCGTGCGCCCTCACCTGCTCGGCGTCCCTCGCCGGCGCCACGTACACGACGATCTCCGTCCACACGTCGGCCACCAGCTTCCACACCGCCGCCTCGTCGCCGCCGGCCGCCTCGTCCATCAGCGCCTTCCCCAGCCTCGCCCCCTTGCGCACCACCGTCGTCTCCTCCGCCGCCGCCTCGTCGTCTTCTTGACCGCCGGCGATAGCCATCATCTTCCCGTACCGGGTGGCGTCCGTCGAGAAGTAGTAGCCCTTGAGACCCAGCTCCCGCTTGAGCTCCGTGGTCATGGTGCCGTACACCCGCGCCGTGCAGTCGACGTCGTCGGGGAGCATCTCCCGGCGGAACGCCACCAGGTAGGCGCAGTAGCGGGACAGCCGCGTCGCCACCGTGCTCGACCTCGCCGCCGCCGCCGCCTCCTCCTCCGCGTGCGGCGGGCACCTCACCTCCAGGAGGCTGGTGGCGATGTGCCATGTGAGTATAACCTCGGCGACGCTGCCGCTCTCGCACGCCGACGAGATCAGCCGGGACGCGTTGCACAGGGTGTTCCTCGCCGCCACCGCCGACCTGCCGGCGCTGAGCGGGGCGACGGCGCCGTCGTACGCCGCGAGGTACTCCACGATGGATTGCTTCGCCTCCTCCGGCACGGCCGCCGCCGGCAGCTTCAGCGGGAGCCTGCAGAACCAGAGCACGGAGTACTGCTTGACACGGAGGTAATTGCGGCGGCTCATCCTGTTCGTCACCCACTGGACGCCGCGGATGGCGGAGCGGCGGAGCCGGCTCGGCGGCTTGACGGCGTAGTCGCAGACCATGGAGACGGTGAGCCAGTTGGAGAGGAGGAAGACGGCGAGCTCCCACGCCTCCTCGTAGAGGATGGTGAGGAAGAGGAGGAACGTGATGGAGAGGTCAATGGAGGAGAAGAGCGCCGACGGCGACCGGAATACTCTGCTCAGGAGGCACCTCGTCATCCTCAGCAAGCCGAACGACACGGCGTAGTTGTCCCTCTTGATGCTGCCGGCGATGAAGGCGATGTCGCCGTTGCCGCAGAGCACGACGGTCATGAGGCAGAGGCCGAGCACGAGGACGGGGAAGACGATGTAGTTGACGAGGAGGAAGAAGGGGCTCGCCAGCATCACGGGGAGGACGGAGTGGTAGTACTCGGTCACGAACCCGAGCTCGTCGTCGAACACCTGGAACAGCGTCGCCGCCCTGTCGGCGGCGGCGCCGCCGTCGTTGCACAGGCCTCGGAAGATGAGCTCACGGCAGTCGGCGGCCTCCGCGGCGGTCAACGGCGTCTCCTCGAACTCGCGGCGAAGCAGCTTGAAGAGAGCGTACGAGAGGCAGAGCCGCTTCAGCTTCGGGTTGGACACCAGCAGCTGGTCACTCTCGGCGAGCGACCACACCCTGCCCACGGTGACGACGACGGCGTCGTCGGCGTTGTCATCGCCGGCGACTGTCTTGTTCAGGTCGACGAGGTAGCCGTTCGGGCCGGCCTCCCTCTCCAGGTTCTCCTCTCCCATGACGGCGTACTTGCAGCTCGTCATGAGCTCGTCGTCTCGCCGCGGGCGCCGCTCCTGCTGCTCCAGCGTCTGCGCCATGTAGCCGGCGAGGAGCTGCGGGTTCTTGCCGAAGGCGAAGGAGCGCTTGACGAACTCACCGATGGCGACGCGCTGCACCAGCTTGGCAGCGGCGAACACCCAGAGCACGCCGAACACCGCCTTCCGGCCGGCGCCGTGGACGTTGAAGAAGACGAGGTAGCCGAGGAAGGCGACACGGCCGGCACGGCTGGTGGGGCCGCCGCCACTGGCGCCCTTAGTGCCGGCGACCGTGGCCTCCACCTTCTTGCGGAGCAGCTCGACGAGCAGCATCCACGCAAGAATGAGGCGCGCACGCAGGGGCAGCTCGGCGTCGGCGGCGGCGGCGCCGGGGACGTCGTTCTTGGCCTCGGAGAAGAGGTAGGAGGTGACGGGGAGGAAGAGGGCGAGGGAGACGGAGAGGACGAGGCGCGCGGCGGGGCGCAGCGTGGCGGCGCCGGCGAGGAGGTCGAAGGCGAGGAGGAGCGCGGCGAGGAGGAGCATGGCGAGGGAGGTGGCGACGATGTTGACCTCGTTCTTCTGGTCGGCGTAGGAGGAGGTGAGGTTGTAGACGTAGGAGCCCATGGCGCCCACGGCGCCGCCGCAGTGCGCGTCCGTCCCGTTGAAGTAGTCCATCGTTGATTGCGACGACAAGCTAGCTAGCAGATATGATGTTCTTGCCCTTGCAGCTAATCAAATTAATCAATGGATACAACCATGGATCGATGCAACAACAGCTTGCTAATGGATATCGAGCTAATTGATCGATCGATCGATCGATCGATCAAATAATGGGATGCTTTTGTTCGAATTGGTAGGTAGGTGATCTGGCAAGCTGGCTCAGCAGAGAGATTCAGTTTGCTTTATTCGATTTTTGTATGGTGATCAGGCCCAGGTGAACAAATTCCTGGGCTGGATTGGGCTGGATTTTTGAAGGATTCTGCTGCAGCTGTGCTCTGGCTGGCACTGGGCCTTGTAGATGCCTTTAAGCCCAGGCCTCAGTACACGTGCTTCCAAAATGTATGCCACGGACCTCTCTTTGAGCGTGTTTTAGGGACGTATTTGCAGATTTGTGAGTATTTTTTAGTGGGTGTATGCCTACCGTATAATCGTATAAAAAAGACCTTCAGGATACGCTCAAGTCGTACTACACTCAATGCTGCTTTGTATTCTCTGGAACATTTGGAAATGCCGCAACAAAGTTGTTCAACGACGTGGATGAGCCCGGTAGCGTGTAGGTTTTCTTTTCTCAAACTCTACCTCTGTGATCTTTTCCGTAACCATACTGTAATACGGGTTTTGCAAAAATCTTCTTCCTCAACTAGAATGAACATTCCGGGCCCGGTTTTCTCCTAGTCAGTCCAATGTTTTTTTTGTCTCCCCCCTGTAACCCCATGACCACGTCAACGGGTCGCGGTTGTGTAGAAGTCTTTTTTTTATACTAATATATTGACAAGCAAGACTCTTACGTTTTAAAAAAAAAACAAAACAAAATGAACATGGTGACACGCATATAAAGTGACAAAGAAACATGATCCTTTTTTACTTCGGGAATTATGGCGGGCTATGCTTCAGCCTGAACCTTATGCGTGTCAGCATGTTCATTCTGGTTCTGAAAGAAGATTTTTGCACAGTTTACTTTTAGAGTAATTTTATACTCCTTGAGAAAATACCATGAGGGGCCACTTTTTCTATTGTAATTTTGGTATCTCTTAGTATTTAATTACTATAACGTACTAAATTTTACACTAAATTTTTGATACTTCGTGGTACCTCCTAAGGACTTTAAAATTGCTCTTACTTTTAAAATTAACATGCGCAAGATATATACATGATTTCCAGTACAGAATTGAAACTTGAAAGTTAAAAATGAGAGCATATTCTTTAGAGATCGGCTAGAAGTGCGTAAGCCAATTTCGAAGGCGTATTTTCCACGTGTTTCGAATTGCAGAGGTGCGCGGAGATGGAGCATCAGCCTTAATTCGGAAAGGAAATGAAGACTGAGCTGGTGATCCCCTCCATTTGGAAACATATCATATCATTATCACTACACTAAGGTAAGGAAAGATTGGACTGATTACCAAAAGAAGGAGATCAGGTTGGCAGCACTGTGTCGGTCACCAGCCGCCACGGAGTTCCTAAATTTTTTTCCCCAAGCTCTCGCGCCGCTCTCACGCGAGCGGCTCGGGAGCGAAACCCTAGCCGCCCGCGCCGCCCCCTCCCAACGCCTCCAGCCACCTCGCCGCCGCCGGAGCCCGCCGCCGGAAACCGTGCGGCCGGCCGGGAAGGCGGCGGCGGGGAAAACGTGCCGGCGGCGGAGCAACCCCTCGGCGTGGGAGGCGGCGCGACGCACGCACGGCGGAAGGCGGCGGCCGGAGCGGCCGGCGGGGCGGATCCGGTCGCGCCGGACGCGGATCCGGCCTCCCCGATGGAGGATCTGGCCCCCCGCCGGCCAGATCTGGAGAGGGGCGGCGGCGGCGCGGCAAGACGGCGGGCGGCCTCGAGCTCGCGGCGACGGCGATGCGGCAAGTCGGCGGGCGGCCCGAGCTCGCGGCGACGGCGGGCGGCCTCGAGCTCTCGACGACGGCGGCGCGGCAAGACGGCGGGCGACCTCGTGCTTGCGGCGACGGCGGCGCGACCTCGAGCTCACGGCAGCGGGGGCGCGACTCGGCGGAACAGCTCGCGGCGGCGGCGGCAACGCGGCTCGGAGGAGCAGCCCGGCCGGCACGCAGCGGAGGCTGACCGGCCAGACGGCTGCTGGTGACGGCGGCGACAATCGTGCCCGCCGTGGTGCTCGTGGCAGTTGGCAGCGTCGTCGGCTGGCAACGGTGGCGTCGAGTTGGCTGCTTGGTGGCGGAGGACGACGGCGCAACGGTTTGCGGAGGCGGAGGCTGGCATCGATGGCAGTGGCGACGGCGGCCGTGGCTGTGGACGGTGGCGACGTCGGCGGATGCGGGTTGCTAGCGAGGTGGCTGGGCGTTCGGCAGCAACGGCTGCGGTGGCGGTGACCGTGTCTGCGGTCACCGGAGGCATGGCGGACTCGGATGGCTAGCCGAGGGCGTGGCAGACGGCTGCTTTTGGCCGGCGTGGTGTCGTTTGGTGGAGGGGTCGGAGACCGGCTTGGCGCAGAGAGGCGCAGCCGATGGCAGTGGAGGCCGGCTCGGCGCGAGAGGCGCGGGCGGCGGAGATGGAGGCCGGCTTGGCGCGAGAGGCGCGGCCGATGGAGGGAGGCTGGAATGGCGCGAGAGGCGCATCCGGTGGAGGAGGCCGGTTTGGCGTGAGTGGCGCGGCCGGCGGTGGAGGAGGCGACCTAGGTGTGAGGAGGAGCTGCCAGTGGGAGTGGCGCGGTCTTCGGCGCACGAAGGCTGGCCGGCGGGGGACGCCGGTGCAGGGGTTCCACATGTCGGCAGAGCTTGTGTGGTGGTGGAGCATCGGTGTATCAGCCGTGGTTTCACAAGTGGTGAGCGGCGGGTGAAAACCTAGTCTGGCCTCGGCCGGACCGACAACGATTCTGAGGGCGTTGTCGTGCTGTCTTACCCCTCAAGGGTGGTTGCCGGGCGAAAACCCAGTCTTGGCTCCTTTAAGCTTCGACGGATGGCGGCGGCGGTTTTCTGTCGCTTCTCTTCTTGAAGACGTCGTTTTGGCATCCCCTAGGGGGGCGATCTCGTCTGTGTCCCTTTGTTGGTCTAGTGGCGGTCGGTCACGCTTAGCGGCGGCCGTTCCGGTGCTAGCCTTCTCCTGGGTTGGTGTGTTGGCGATGTCGATGTGTGGGTGGTGGTTTTTTTTTTCCTTTTTCCTGGTTACGACCCTCCAGGGTTGTAATTTTGTAATTTTTTCCTGCTCTATCAATATTACCTCGCACCGTCTCGTGCGAGTTGTTCAAAAAAAAAAGAAGGAGATCCCATAAATACGATACCTGCTACATACCCCCAACCCTCCCATGCATCGGAATATCTCACCTCCTCACCCAACTCGCCCCAATCGATCAACCGTAGCAGCCATGGCCGCCAACTTCGGAGGAGAGTTTCCGGTGGACGGCCAACCCGGCGAGCCCTGCCAACCAGGAGAGCTGGTCGCAGCGGCTGTGGTGGCCGCAACGACCGTGGAGGCGCCGGCGGATGTAGAGGTATTGGTGGGTGCCTCGGCGTCCGCCACGGCCACCGCGGCCGCCACACGGTGACGCCCTCAGACCAGGCGGCGTCGGTGGGTACGGTGGCGAAGTAGTGTATGTCGGTGCAGAAGTGTACTTCCACGGCGTACGCATACCACATGCTGGTGACGGCGGCCCCGATGGTATTAGCGGCCAGGGTGGCCCCGGAGCCAGCTGCTTAAACCTATGGGGTCAAGCTGTAAAATTCTTAAGTTTTTTATTGTTGCAACACAAATATCAATAGTTTTTGAGCTATTTTGCAAAAACCTGTGATGTCAGCTGACCCCACAGATTATACGTAGCTCCGCCATTGCCTGAAGGGGACGGTGGCCCCCATGGTATCGGTGGCTGCGGCAGGGACAGTGGCCGTGGCAGGGGCGACGGTGGCCATGGCAGGAAAGGCCACCGTAGTGGCCATGGCAGGGACAATGCGGAAAGCAGAGAAGGAGGCCGCGGAGGGGACGGCGGAGAAGGCGGGACACAATATATAGAGTAAATTACCAACTTTACCTGATGAGCAAATTAAGCATTTATATTTTAAAGCAATACAACACCAAGTAAAGAGTTGCAAAATCTCCTCTCAAGATGATCAACAAGGTCCTTAAGGTAAGGTATTTTCTGTTGAGAAATTTTACCATCCTTAAGGTAAGGAAAATACCAAATACAAGCCGTAGATACTAGAATCAAACGGTTGAGAGGTACCGCCTCCAACGCGTCAACCAGGTACTCCGCATGGATGAGTTAATTGAGGGGTAAAATTGTATTTTTTGCGTTGAATCTCCTTTGACAAGTCTACTCCGCTCGTAGTTAGCGGCGCCGCCTGGGCAGCCCATTCCCTTCCTCTTCGCACCTCACCACGCCGAGATCTGGTTGAGGGCGGCGGCTGGGAGGCCTCCTCGAGTTTGCAAGCGGCCAGGCAACAAGAGCGACGAGGAGATGGCCACAGTGACGAGCTGAGCATGGCAGATGCAGCAGTGGCCGGACCAGCTCAACTTCCCTCCGCCTGCTCCGCTCCTCCCGCTGCTGGTTCAGTACCGAGCTGATCCCCGCCGCCCTCAATCTCTGGCTGATCTCTTCCGTGGCGGACACCTTGAATTGTTCTTTTTTCCGCCGGCCCTTCTTGCTGCTACGATTTGTGTTGTGGGGTTTGCTGAATTAAACGTAAATGGTTGTATGCTACCAGCTACAAGCTGAATTGGCAGCTTGGTATTGATGAACTAAAAACAAGGTAAAAAATTGAGGAATTTTACGATACTTGAGAAAATACCTTACCTTAAGGTTATCTAGAGGTACCAAATTTTATACTAGAAAATATGATACATCTAGATACCTTCTCAAGGATGGTAAAATTACCCAAAAATTTTGGTCTAATGTAAATAATATCGTTTCATGAGAGTTTCGTTCTTTGAATTAGGCATTATTTCCTTTCACCCTCCTCCCAATTCCTCCCCTTTTCAGATCAAAGCATTAAACTCAAATTGTGTGCCGTCATGTGAGTTCCCCTTGCAAGGCATCCTACACCTTGATCAATCTAATCTCACATGTAGGAAAGAAACTCTATATGAAAGTTGTTCTAAAATATCAGATTAATCTATTTTTTAAGTTTGTAATAATTAAAAGTCAATTAATCACTCTATACT